CTTCTGCTGCTCTGAAAAGTTTCCTCCTCCTCCTCCTCCTCCTCCTCTTAAATCATCCAGAGTTTTGGTCTCTCAGATGTTTTGATTCCTTTATGAACTCGTTCCATGAGTCAGCATTTTCTGCAGACTTTCCCTGAGTTAATTACCCACAATTCATAGCAAAGTGACATTAAACGCGAGGTAACCAGAGGAAGCATGGAGACGTAAACAAAGAGGATGAAACATGTGAGTTCAGGCTGGAATATTAATATTTACTGAGAAACATTAAAGATTAAAGAAGGAACATAAACACATGAAGTCACAGGATATTTAATGTTGTTTTTGAAGCTGTTTTGGCAAAACTGAGTAAATATATTATTTAAAATGAGATCAGATCTTCAGACCTCCATCAGGACTCTGATGTGTTCACTGATCAGCTGTGATGTTGTTGACTCTCCAACACTTTGACTTGTTGTTGTGAGTAAACGCTGCTCTCTGATTGGTTCTGCTTTAGTGAGTCTGTTTTGCAGCTGAATGACATCATTCATTCACATTCTGAACATCAAACAACTTCAGTGTGTGTGTGTGTGTGTGTGTGTGTGTGTGTGTACGTGTCTCTGTGTCTCTGTCTGTGTGTCTGTGTGTGTGTCTCTCTGTGTGTGTGTGTGTGTGTCGCTGTGTGTGTGTGTGTGTGTCCCCTCATTGTCTCCTGCTGAGTTGTTCTCCATGCAGACACTAGCTGCGCTGCTATTGGTCGGTTTCTGGTGTCCCAGATCAGCAGACAGCAGCCTGACGGCTCCTCTGATTGGCTGGTTTGTGTTTACAGACTCGTCTCTTTCTGTGAACAATCAGCAGCTAACGATCATTGCAATCTTCATTGATTCATCAGTTCATCACAGAACGTCTCCTGATATCTCTCCACCTCCACATTAATAAACTACGGTTGTTTAAAAGCTGTTTCTTCTAAATCATGAGTGGACGTTAGTTTGAGCTTCTGTGAGAAACAAACTGTCCATCGTGTGAAAGTAGGTCACAATAAAGAGAAGACATCTCAGGTCACAGTGAACTCTGTCAGTGTTCATGTTCTACTGTCACTTCTCTGATTCATGATGAGACTATGAACTACATTTAACCTACATCAACTAGATATAAACATATAAACTATGTACTATGTAACTATGACCGGTTTGGACTCTGACCGGTTAGTGATTCAGAGAATAAAGAGCAGAAGTTTTGTCTGATTACTTCTGTGTTTTAAATATTTAATGATCTTCCTTTATGGACGACTTCACTTCCTGTCTGAACATCAATGATGACCTCATTCTTATTTATTCTTCACGTTACATAAATCTTTTATGAGTCACGTCGCAATTTACAGGCTTCACAAAAATATGTTTGTTTTTAACCTCACGGATTTAATAATAAACTTCAATTATATTGTATAAATTATGCATAAACAGCATAAACAAAGTGCTTTATAGAAGAGCAGATAATGATAACATGAGGGTAAATATTATATATTTGAAAACAGGGAATATTGTGTCTTTAATATGTATTTATTTCAGCAGCCCACTGAAGACAGAAGTGTAGTTTCAGAGGTGTTATTTCACCTCTGAATTAAAGTGAGGTAAAGAGCTTCAGGGTTTCGTGTCATGTGATCTCATGTGACTCCTAACAGGAAACTGTGTTTTTATTCAAATGAGCTTCTGGTCAGAGGAGCACATTTGCATTGATGTCGTCGTGTCGGTAGATTTTCTCCTCATGAATCATGAATATTAAGACGAGACATGAAGGAAGGTCCAGCCGGATGAACAACATCTCACATCTGTTCTATCTGTTGTTACCTCTGACTGCAGTCCATACGTCTGGAGATGAGACACAGTAGACCACAGTAGACCACAGTAATAGAGAAACAGAGTCTCTGTTACAGAGTATTGTCACAGTGTAGTACTAGGACCTTTACTGCAGTAACAGAGTATTTGTGATATAATCGCTGCTGTGTTGTGTTTCAGTTCACGCGGGTCTGGATCCCCGACCCTGACGATGTGTGGAAAGCTGCAGAGATCATCAGAGACTATAAAGAAGGAGAACCGGTGCTTCACCTCAAACTGGAGGATGAAACGGTATTTAACTTTCAGAGAGAACAACACACCGTTACATTCACACTCAGTGGAACAATGAATGAAAGCTGACTTTAATGAGGAAGTACAGAACCTCCCATTGTTACTGATTGTGTACTGATGGTGTACTGATGGCGTACTGATTGTGTACTGATGGTGTACTGATGGCGTACTGATTGTGTACTGATGGTGTATCGATGGTGTCTTCCGGCCCAGCCTCTGGACTACCCCGTGGGTCCTAAGACTAACCCTCTTCCTTTCCTCCGTAACCCCGACATCCTGGTGGGAGAGAACGACCTCACGGCTCTCAGTTACCTTCATGAACCTGCAGTCCTGCACAACCTCAAGGTCCGCTTCCTGGAGCCCAACCACATCTACACGTACTGCGGTCAGTCAGCCTCCCTCAGTCACCACTCACTCATCATAACATGAGCAATTATTACTTTCTATATTATCTCATCTATCTTACAGCTCCAGTGTTTGTTGCTGTATTTTCTTTATTTATTATTGATTCATGTTATATCAGTGGTGGGCCGTCAGGGCCTTCAAGGCCTTCTCTGCTGGTTTAAACAGAATCACAAAGCTATATCTATTTTATAATTGAATCATTTTTCTTAAATGCACTACCTGTATTATAATTTATAAACATATTTTCCCCATTATCTTATGTTCTCATTGCACAGCTACTGTCTTCCTCAGTTGCTCTGCTTCCAGTGCAGCTTGTTTTAAGTAGAGCTTTTATCCAATCAGATCTCACCTCTGTGTCTCTAGGTAAGAACAGAGGCAGAGGCCTGCAGACTCACAAGTGCATCCATGAGCACTTTAAGTGAATGGGGACGATATTGTTGATTATCATAGTGTTCAACCAATCAGATCTTTAGTTTGACATGTTGGGCGTATTATTTGATGTGTCAGCAACTGCTAGCTGGCCTGTAGCTACGTCAGCATTACGTGCAGCTCAGTGTCCATGTGTAGCTCTGCTGCGAGGTGCAGAGTGTGCTGTGATTGGTCAGTGGGCGAGCACGTGACTATCGTAAAACGAAACTTCACAGCAGAGGCTGATGGGTAGTGAATCACATCACGTGATGCAGCTCAGCCAATCAAATATGGGCATTCTGACTGAGTGAGATGCACCATGACACGGGGGGCTGAGATGAGGAAAGAGATTGCAGAGCAGTACGTTCAACGTTCAAGTTGTGAAAGTAAAATCCTATGATAATCTCTGTGGGTCGCGGCTTGTCATTAAGGAATGATGGCAGATCCCACAGCCAGACCAGCTGACATTATATTTTCCTGAATTTAGGCTTTTGCATTTTCTAAATGCTCTAGCATTAATCAAACGACTCGTACCGAACGGTTTAATATGAAGATGTACATAGTTACAGCTTAAAAATTAATAGCTGTGGCGCCATCATCTGGTTATAAGGTGGTATTTCAGCTGCAGGACAGCAGAGAAGGTCCAGGTATAAAATGCACGGCCTGCCGCTGGTTATACACACTGAGTACACGAGCTGTAGTTTAATGTACTTCTACAGAAATAATAGACATACATCGACATATTTATAAAGTAATTGAATCCATATATAGACATTAATTCATGTCTGTATACAGCGTGCTTAGAATTATAATTGATTATCTAATAATGATGATGTCTACAGTTAACCAGTGAATGAATTAAGTTAGGTGTGTGTGTGTGTGCAGGGATCGTGCTGGTGGCCATCAACCCGTACGAGCAGCTTCACATCTATGGAGAGGAGGTGATCCGGGCCTACAGCGGTCAGAACATGGGCGACATGGACCCTCACATATTCGCTGTGGCTGAGGAGGCCTACAAGCAGATGGCCAGGTCACATCACATGGAGCCTTTTATTGTGTTCTTAATGTTTAGAGATTTGAATACTGACGGGACTCTTCTTGTGTCTGCGCGTTTTCTTGCAGAGACGAGAGGAATCAGTCGATCATCGTGAGCGGAGAATCCGGAGCAGGAAAGACGGTTTCTGCAAAGTACGCCATGCGGTTCTTTGCCACGGTGGGCGGCTCAGCCAGCGACACCAACGTGGAGGAGAAGGTGCTCGCCTCCAGCCCCATCATGGAGGTCAGTGGCCTTCTGTGTTCAGAGGAACCACTCACATGTCTGGACAGTTAATATGAAGCTGCAGCAGCTTTACAAAGTTAAAAACTGAAGATTCATAAGAAATCAGTGGAACGAGCTACAAGGTGTCACCTGATGCTGACAACTGTCTCCTCTGCTCACCAGGCCATCGGAAACGCCAAAACCACTCGAAACGACAACAGCAGCCGTTTTGGGAAGTACATTCAGATCGGCTTCAGCAAACATTACCACATCATCGGAGCCAACATGAGGACGTACCTGCTGGAGAAGTCTCGCGTGGTGTTTCAGGTTTGTTGAGCCGGTTCACGGAGCGACGGCTTCACTGAGTTTCACTGTTTTTACTTGTGTGTTTTAAATGTGTTGCAGGCTGAAGAGGAGAGAAACTATCACATCTTCTACCAGCTGTGTGCCTCCGCCAGCTTCCCAGAGTTCAAAGACCTCGGCCTCAGTGAGTCTCTGCTGTTCTTTATGTAGATGAGCTCCAGCTTTAACAGGACGTCACCTGTCGTCCGCCTGTTGTTCACCTGTCGTCCGCCTGTTGTCCACCTGTCGTCCGCCTGTTGTCCACCTGTCGTCCGCCTGTCGTCCGCCTGTTGTTCCCCTGTCGTCCGCCTGTTGTCCACCTGTTGTCCGCCTGTTGTCCACCTGTCGTCCGCCTGTTGTCCGCCTGTTGTTCACCTGTCGTCCGCCTGTTGTCCACCTGTCGTCCGCCTGTTGTCCACCTGTTGACTTGAGTTTTTGATGCGTTCTCTTCACTCAGCCAGCGCAGAAGATTTCACCTTCACGTCTATGGGAGAGAACATCTTCATCGAGGGAGTGAACGATGCTGAAGACTTGGAGAAGACCAGGGAGGCCTTCACACTGCTGGGTGAGGACGGATCCAAACATAACTAATAATTAATATTGTATAATCTATAGTAGTTATTAAACCAAAACTACTTCTGTGCATCTTGAAGCTGAGTACATTCATGTTAAAAACCTCTTTAAACAAGCGTCTCAGTCTGATTCCAGGTGGACTCTGGAGGATGTCCTGAAACACTAACGAACACAAATATGTTTGTTATTTGCTTCAAAGATTAATTTATAGAAATAATAAAAGTTTTATTTTTACCTCTTGCACCAACAATAAAACGTTCTGCAGATCATTTATAACTGGTTTAGTATCTGTCAATCACATTTACAGAGTAACTAAACCCCCGAAACACATTTAAAGAGCCCATGAGCCAATTTGGACTTGGGGTTAAGTTGGTTTCGACCCCTTCCGAAGCCCGTAGGGACTCGACACTGGTACCACTCCAACCGCAATGCCCACATTAGTGGGGGTAGAGTCCACATCCAAGGCTCTACTCCTGATCCTAGCCCTAACGTTATATATGTGTTTTACTGGTGTTGTCCTCTGTGTCTGTCTTTAATAAGGCTCCGTGTGTTGAATTGTCTGGTTTTCAGGGATAAAGGACAACAGTCAGAGCAGCATTTTCAAAGTCGTCGCCTCCATCCTTCATCTGGGAAACATCGAGATCTGCTCGGATCGAGACGGAGAGTCCTGTCACGTGTTGGTACGTCGCCATGATTGCAGCTCACACTGACGGTCAGCTGGTCAGGGTCCTAACAGGTGAAGGTGTGTGTTGCAGAGAGACGACCTCCACCTGAAGCACTTCTGCAGGCTGCTGGGGGTGGAGCTGCAGCAGATGGAGCACTGGCTCTGTCACAGGAAGTTGGTCACCGCGTCCGAGACGTACGTGAAGAACATGTCCACCAAGCAGGCGGAGAACGCCCGCGACGCGCTTGCCAAACACATCTACGCCCGCATGTTCGACTGGATCGTGGAGCACATCAACAAGGCCCTGCACACCTCCTCCAAACAGCACTCCTTCATCGGGGTCCTGGACATCTACGGGTGAGAAGTCCAGCAGTCCTTATGCAAAGAATACAACCTCAGAACACCTGGAAGCAGCTTCTCTCATCAGTAAAGAATAGTTCAACAGCATCTGAAATGTGAATTCCTGTTCTTTGGTTTGATAGAAGAACACATCCTGTCTGTTGGGACATAGAGGTTCATGTATGAACTCTTTCTCCATATAGAGGGTCAATAAGAACAACTGATCTCATCAAGTTATTTGTATTTGTAGCCCAATACCACAAATCAGAAAGCACAAAGACTGTGTCTGTGATTGTGCTGATGTCAATGAATAACTTGAAAAGCATTAAGTCCTTCTGTCTGATTGTCTGCAGCTTTGAGACATTCGAGGTGAACAGCTTTGAGCAGTTCTGCATCAACTACGCCAATGAGAAACTTCAGCAGCAGTTCAACTCTGTGAGCCTCCTTTTGTCTTTGTGATTCTTCTTCTTCTGTGTTCACGTCTAACGAGCTGCTCGTTGCTCCGTGTCCTCAGCATGTGTTTAAGCTGGAGCAGGAGGAGTACATGAAGGAGCAGATCCCCTGGACTCTGATAGACTTCTACGATAACCAGCCCTGCATCGACCTGATCGAGGCTCGACTCGGCATCCTGGACCTGCTGGACGAAGAGTGTAAAGTCAGTCACAGGGACTAGTTACTGAGCTGTGATTGGACGATTCTACGTTTGTTATTGAGGAAATGTTTCTATCGTCATCACATCACTTTATTTCATTCTGTAAAATGAGATTTAAAATTGCAAGATTGTTGTTTATGTTGTTAGCCGCGTTAGCAGCTACCGTGGCGCTGTGTGTATCAGTGTCACTCTATAGATGAAGATCTTCCAGATTCTTATTCTAAAGTAGTAAACATCCTGTTTACACACGAAGCTGCTCTCTGGATGTTTGTCTCATTGAAACCTCTCAGACTAAATCTGATCGTTTATTCATGCACTCTTACTGATGATGATGATGATGATGATGATGATGGTGGTGATGATGATGATGATGATGATGATGATCACTTGTTATATAATCCACTTCCTGTTTCAGGTGCCGAAGGGGACGGACCAGAACTGGGCACAGAAGCTCTACAAGCAGAACTCGAGCAGCCCTCACTTTCAGAAACCTCGTATGTCCAATGTCTCCTTCATCATCATACACTTCGCTGATAAGGTGAGCAGAAGGACCAGGTCCAGGTTCTTGACCAGGTCCAGGTTCTTGATCAGGTCCAGGTCTTTATAGAACGTGTCCTCAGGACGTCTTCTGATTAAACACAGAGTCTGTTCAGTAACGTCTGCAGGTTCCATGTTTGTCAGGTCAACAATATATATTTATATTCACTATTATATATTCATTGCTTATTGTTGTAAGTTCTGCTCCGTCGTCTCCTCAGGTTGAATATCAGTGTGAAGGATTTCTGGAGAAGAACAGAGACACCGTGTACGAGGAGCAGATCAACATCCTGAAGGCCAGTCAAGTAAGAACCACTGAACCACTGAACCAGAACCACTGAACCAGAACCACTGAACCACAGAA